TTATAAACACAACATTGTCCTGTCCAATAACTGTACCAGGTCCTTTCCATTGATTATCTCTAGGAAAGTATACTGTATCTCCAATTTCTCACCTGAAGGACGAACATGCTTTCGAAGAGCACGTCTAATTTTCTCTTAGGATACTGATGCTACAAATGAAGTCCAACTAAGTGTTTTCCCATTGTTTTACTCATTGTTTTTCATTCAAGAGCTCCTTCAAGAGCTGGAGGTTTATTTACTCTTGTTGTTTGCAAGTTAGGATTTCTTCCAAACACAATCTGATAAGGACTATATCCATACACATTTACAAGACTATTTTTGGCATTCACCGCCCAGCTAATAGCAGTTTCCCAAGAAAGATTTGAACTTTCTCTGATTTTATTAACGGTTTTAGTCAGAGTTGCATTATGTCGTTCTTCAATTCGATTTGACCAGGGACTGTATCCTGTTGTGGTCTTACATGTAACTGACATGATTTTAAGCCATATCACGAAAAATTTGAGAATTGAATTCCCCGCCATTGCCAGTGTATACTCCAACTTCAGGAACACCATATACACTAACTCATATCTGCATGAATTTGTCAACAACTAACTGTTAGTCTTTTCTCCTGACAATGGTTGGTGCACTCAAACGGCTAAACAGGTCAATTATGTGCAAATAGTAGAAATTGTAATCAATTTCATGTAAATCCATAGCAACAATTTGCTTAAAACCATTTGCAAGGGAAAATGCCACCATTGACTTTGGCTATGGACGTTGAAACTTGAAACAGACCATGCATTTTGAGCAAACATCATTCGAAATAGCCTTTGTATCATAGTAAACTGAGCCTGCGCTGTTCAAAAGGGATACAACTTTTCAGATGAGACATTATCAAATTGTTTATGCAGTTTTGATATAATATCCCTCTTTCTTTTCTTATAGAATCCCGGATTTCCTCCTCACTCACTGCAGTATTTTTCTGTCCATTTCTTTTTTCTTTAACATGTTTAATCTTTATGCAATAATGACCATTTCAAGTGAAATGAACATCAACTGGTTTTCTAAACATAGTCACTTTATCATTATGGAGATCAAGAACTGTTTGCGCTCTTTTCAAAGAATCTTTGCTAAATAATAGAGGTATTTCGCAATCAACTACTTCTGTTTTTATGTAACAATTTAGAGATCCAATTGTGGCAGGTACCTTTACAGACTGATAAGAATAACCTGTCATCATCATATTTGGAAGGTGTATGACTTTCCTTGCTTTTTATTTCTTCATTTTCAGTGTCAAAAGTGTCTGAAAATTGATGTAACCATTCAGACCCGCAAACTGTTTTGGTACGTGCTGTATCTACAACTGCAGCATTAAATGCCTCAGCTGCAAAATTTTCTTGAAGGTGTAATGTTTTGTTGTGAAGTTAATCAGAGTTATGTTTACAGTTTCAGATGTGTCTGTTTGTTCCTCTGTGAATTTAACATCATATGTTTTACATGTTTTATGTGGACAATCCCTAAACCAGTGATATTTTGAATCACAACATCTACAACGAGATATGCTGCCATTGATAGGTGGATTAAGTCTGGATTGTGCATTTCTTTGATTAAATGATCTATCTATGCGATTGCGTGCACAAAATCTCCTTGAACTACACCCTCTATTAAAACCATGTTCTCCTACAAATGCAGATTCTTCTTTTACAGTCACTATATCATTATCACTATGTGATTTAGATTCAAATATTCTATTAAGGACTGCCTTCATGGTATCAAATTTTAAATCAGAATATGCCGTGAAAGCTAAATGTCTGTCACTTTGATCAAGTCCTGCATTATCTAAGAGTTTAAATGCTTATATTGCATCAGGAAGTGCCATGTCATTTCTTTTGCACTTGTTATACTTCTGTTCAAACTCAATAATATAGTCAGACATTTTTATTGAAGACTCCCTGTGAAAATTATCAAAAGCTGTATATGCTGCATAAGCTTGGTCAATCTTGTCCTTTTTATACGACCGCAAAAAAATTTTTGTGGTCGTATATTGGTATGACGTTGGCGTCGTCGTCGTCATCGTCGTCGTCGTCTGGCGTCGTCCGGCGTCGTCCGAAGACACATTGGTTTTCGCACTCTAACTTTAGTTTAAGTGAATGGATCTCTATAAAATTTTACCACAAGGTTCAATACCACAAAAGGAAGGTTGGGATTGATTTTGGGGATTATGGTACCAACAGTAAAGGAATAAGGGGCCAAAAGGGGGCCAAAAATATGCATTTTTGTAACTTCCAGACATAGCTTGTGTGTTAGTGTATGGATCTCTCTGACATTGTACCACAAGGTTCCATATCACAAAAGGAATGCTGGGACTGATTTTGGGGGTAATTGCCTCAATATTTTAGGAATTAGGGGCCAAAAAAGGGGCAAAAAACAAGCATTTTTCTAGTTTCAGGACAATAACTTGTGTGTAAGTGTATGGATCTTTCTGAAATTGTACTACAAGGTTCCATATCACAAAGGGAAAGCTGGAATTGAGTTTGGGGGTAATTGCCGAAACGTTTAGGAATTGGGGGCCAAAAAGGGGCCAAAAATAAGCATTTTTGTAGTTTCCAGACAATAACTTGTGTTCAAGTGTATGGATCTCTCTGAAATTGTACTGCAAGGTACCATACCACAAAGGGAAGGCTGGGATTGATGATGGGGGTAATTGCCTCAATATTTTAGGAATTAGGGGCCAAAAAAGGGGCAAAAAACAAGCATTTTTCTAGCTTCAGGACAATAACTTGTGTGTAAGTGTATGGATCTTTCTGAAATTGTACTACAAGGTTCCATATCACATAGGGAAAGCTGGGTTTGAGTTTGGGGGTAATTGCCCTAAAGGTTTAGGAATTTGGGGCCAAAAAGGGGCCAAAAAACACATTTTTCTAGTTTCCAGACAATAATTTGTGTTCAAGTGTATGGATCTCTCTGAAATTGTACTGCAAGGTACCATACCACAAAGGGAAGGCTGGGATTGAGTTTTGGGGTGATGAATCATAAGGGGGTTCAAAAAATTTGGGGGGGGGATTTTTTTTTTTTCCTTTTTTTTTTTTTTTCCTTTTTTTTTTCTTTTAAAATTTTCCATTTTAAGTTGGTTATTTCTGATTTATATTTAAAAGCAAATAATAATGATATGGTAGGAGATACACACCAAACAGGATGTGTAAATTATTATATAATAAGTATTGTGCAATAGCAAGAAATTTTCGATTGCACAGTATTGCACAATAGCAAGAAATCTTCAATTGCACAGTATTGCGCAATAGCAAGAAATCTTCAATTGCACAGTATTGCGCAATAGCAAGAAATATCCAATAGCACAATATTGCACAATAGCAAGAAATTGTCAATTGTACAGTATTGCGCAATAGCAAGAAATATTTAATTGCACAGTATTGTGCAAAAGAAGATACTTCGTATAAATTGCTTATTTCTTGACCAATTTCAATGGGGTTTTATTCTTGAAATCTTGGGGTTCTTTAATATGCTGAATCTAACCGTGTATTTAGTTTTTGGATTTTGGGCCCCGTTTTTAAATTGGTCCACATTGAGGTCCAAAGGGTCCAGAATTAAACTTTGTTTGATTTCATCAAAAATTGAATTATTGGGGTTCTTTGATATGCCGAATCTAACCGTGTATTTACATTCTTAATTTTTGGTTCCGTTTTCAAATTGGTCTACATTAAGGTCCAAAGGGTCCAAAATTAAACTTAGTTTGATTTTAACAAAAATTGAATTCTTAGGGTTCTTTGATATGCTGAATCTAAACATGTATTTAGATTTTTGATTATGGGCCCAGTTTTCAAGTGGGTCCAAATCGGGGTCCAAAATTAAACTTTGTATGATTTCAACAAAAATTGAATATATGGGGTTCTTTGATATGCTGAATCTAACCATGTATTTAGATTTTTGATTTTTGGGCCCCGTTATCAACTTTGTCCACATTGAGGTCAAAAGGGTCCAAAATTAAACTTTGTTTGATTTCATCAAAAATTGAATTCTTGGGGTTCTTTGATATGCTGAATCTAACCATGTATTTAGATTTTGGATATTGGACCATAATAGGTGAATGTCTAATTTAAAATTTTTAAGTTCTTAGACCACATTCATTCTGTGTCAGAAACCTATGCTGTGTCAAATATTTAATCACAATCCAAATGCAAAGCTGTATCAGCTTGAATGTTGTGTCCATACTTGCCCCAACTGTTCAGGGTTCGACCTCTGCGGTCGTATCAAGCTGCGCCCTGCGGAGCATTTTATTAAACAATTTATCTAATTCTGTTATTCATTTGTCAACGTCTTCATCAACATTCAAATCCTCTGGTGTTATTTCTAACACTACTTCTCTTGGTTTTCCATGTAAGGACAACGCAAGTCCTAGGCCTCTATTCTTCTTGTCCATTTCTTTAACCATTTGCCACATCTTCACTTCGTTCTTCCATTGCTGGTAGGATTTCTCTGTTGTCAAACGTAGTGGGTTCTTATAACTCAGAGTAGTCGCCATCTCGCCGGATGTTGTGAGCTCTGCTACCACTGTTAAATGATTCTAAATGACTAAAATGTTCTTTGTACAACTTTAATCTAAAACCACCAAGTTACAAACTGATACATACAAATAGAACTAAAGACTAAACTTAATAACTAAACTACTAAACTAAATAGTTAACACTATATATCATCTTTCGTTTATTGTTTCGTACATACACCAGGTGTTTGGTATCTCGTTTGAATTATTTTACATTTGCCAATTAATGGCCTTTTATAGCTTACTATTGGGTATGGGTTTTGCCCATTGTTGAAGATCGTACATTGCTGTTTATTTGTTAACATCTATGTTGTTTGGTCTCTGGAGATAGTTGCATTATTGGCAATCATACCACATCTTCTTTTTTTTATAAACCTTATCATTGTCACGATTCTAGCCAATGTAATTATACTTAAGATACAGAATTGTAATTGTATAGTTATATTTTCTATTACAGAATGTTAAAGACATTTGTTGCGGATGGTGATTTTGCTGGATCCATAACTATAAAAGAATATGAAGGACGTTATTTTCCAGCAAGTATTCCAGATATACCTTCACAATGGAAACGTATGCAGTCATTTGATGCCAATGACAATGATGTCATCATTTGTTCATATCCAAAATCAGGTTTGTACGATTTTTTACAGGCAAAAATATTGTTTCTACGAAATTGTGAATTGATTGACTTGTATTACCATTTTGAAATGAGGTACTTAGTTACCTGAACATCGCAGAATGGAAACATAGGGACGCTTTTCCAGCAACGGGGTGCTCTTTTGGTCTATATCAAGCTTTATATCTTAGAGTGCAGACCAGCTGCATACATGTATAATCCATATCTGATACACAGATGTTATGATGAGCAGTTCTGTCTGTTGTCGATTTATTTTCCTGGTCAATTGCCTAAAATGGAAAACAAAAATAAGGATATGTGGTGATTTTGTTTATGAGATAAGTATTTATAAAGACTAAAGACAAATAGTTAAACAATTGCAGGTCATTGTACAACCTTCAACAATGAGTTATACCCCTACCATATAGTATGTTATAAAAAGTCCCGACGTGAGAAAATATAGGAGAATATCAGCGGCTAAATTTATACTACAACGAGGAATGAAAAACATATTTAACAAGCAGCAGCCAACGACAACCACTGAATTACAAACCAATTGCTAGGAAGATGAACATAAACGATGTGCCGGGTATAAACATGTTCCGTGGTGTATACAATGATTTAAGGTAAACATGTCCGCCAAACAGGGTTCATTTGACCTTGACCTTATTTTCATGGTTCGTTTGTCAACATTATACTTTCAAGATTACGTTCGTTTCTAATATCTCATAACTAAAATGTCAACAATATTCTATATATGCAGTACATTTTCGTCTGACAGATTTATCTGATCTTGACTTAAATTTGATGATTCATAGGTTAAAATTAAGTTTTCTTGAATAGATCCGTTTCTTAGATACTGTAAGTTATTATATACAACTAAATAAATTGGCTACAATATCGTCATAGGCGGGACAAAAGAAAGGTCAATGATCTTTATAGTTTAGCACTATGATATATCGACCACTGAGTATTTATAGAACATTACGCGATAAATAGTAAAGAAAGGCACGATCTTGTACAATGTCCAAAACAAAATTATACAAAAACAAAAGAAACATTTTAGTATTATGGCTTCACCCTTTATTGGTTTTATTGTTTTTAATACCAGTATGCTCTCATTGTGATATAGTCTTCTGCATTGATTGTACGTAAGGAAAAGACAACCTGTCATTGATGGGCCATTCCATTTAGTTTCTGAAACAAAAAGGGGGATGGGTACCATGTCAAAGACCCCCTTAAGAAAAATCTCAGGCAAATTTCAATCCCTCGGATGCTTGGATAAAAACCCCTCAGATGCCAAATCATGCCATCAATCCCTCATTTTTACATATTTAGACCAAAAAAAATACCCCTCAGAAACAAACAAATGGGTACCTCTCAGATATATTATGAGCCAATAAGCACCCCTAAGAACTGACTTTTGATACCCCTCAGAAAAAAAACCCATCTACCCTCCCTTATCAGATATTAAATGGAATGGTCCAATGTATACATCATGATTTTAGGTTTCCATTGGATATGGGAAGTAGTGACAATGCTAATTAATAACTCATCAAGTATTTCAAAGGATTTACCAGCCAAATATAATTTAGAAGTTGGGTCTAGAAAAGTGGAAGAGACACCACCACCAAGAGTGTTAGGAAGCCATTTGTATTATGAACAACTTCCTGCTTCAATCAGACTAAAACAATGCAAAATAATCAATGTTGTTAGAGACCCAAGAGCAGTAGCAGTTTCGAGTTTTCATTTCTTTACCAAAATAAAAGAAACTAAATGGACTGGTAGCTGGGCTGGTTATCTAAATCTATTTTTAAATGGTAAAGGTAAGAATTACATTGTAATATAAACATTCGATGGTTACAATATTAATGCCTTTTTATTAATATACGTGTATACTTATTATTTTTTTCTATCGTACCTTTGAAAACTTATACTGTACGCGTACACAAATGTACAAATAGCTTATTAGATCGTCAAAGATATGAAGAAAAAACCCACTGAAAAAATGATTGTTATACATAAGTACATTTTTGTAACGCACCATGATAGTTAAACTACAGAATGATCAATATTTATCATCAGAAACCTTCACAGTCTCACACATGTGAGGCTTAAAAAGGTCCTATTAGGAGTCGGACAGTAAGGAGGAGTCACATATTGTGTTTGCAACATGCGAAACAAAACGATATTTGCACTAGATAGATCTAAACTGTTCTTTTTACTTCTTGTAACATTATTACTTAGTACTGTAAATAGCTACATCAGTTATCAGTGACCTCAATAGCTGTTTTAATATCAATATGCAACATAAATTCATTGTGACTGTCATGCAAGTGAGACGTTTAGCTAGCTATAGAACCAGGTTTAATCGTCCATTACCCACATAAGAAAATGCCTGTACCAAGTTAGGAATATGACAGTTGTTTTCCATTCGTTTGATGTGTTTGTGCTTTTGATTTTGCCATTTGATAAAGGACTTTCTGTTTTGAATTATCTTTGGAGTTCGGTATTTTTGTTATTTTACTTTTCACTTCATTTCATAAAAGACATATCTATTCAACTTACTAGTACGTGCATTGGATTTAAAGGCAGTTTCAAACCATAAACAAAATAATTACTTTACTGTGATAAGGTAATTCAAATAGCAGGTCGGTTCGATTCAGATTTTATTTGACAACGATAGCCAGATTTCCTGCTGAAGTTCGTTGATTCTGTCAAGTCACCACGTTTGCCACCCATCAATTACAGCTGACCGACACTATATAGACAACAGTGCTGAAAGTGCCGTTGAATAAAAATGAATCAATAAATCGACAATTTAAAAAGTCAACCAAATGTCCTTGTCCAAAAAAACTTTTGAGGAAATAGTCTGGTGAAATTTAAAAAATCTGGAATTTAGAATTGATAATTAATCATAAGCATTAGTTTAGGAACAAAATAAACTAAAATATAAATAGATTATGAAACTCCTTTTCGAGGTCTATGATTTATTTTTAAATGGCGGGAAGAGGCTGACTCGGACTTTTACCTTATATTAAGTATTGGCATTATTTGGGTCTTAAATCGTAAGAAAGGAAATCAAGAATATGCTTAAATTTTGGTAATGACCTTTTATGAGCTATAAAAGTCTTCTAAGGCCGTACCTTTGACCTATACTAGTTTACTTTTACAAATTGTGACTTGGATGGAGAGTTGTCTCATTGGCACTCAAACCACATCTTCTTTTATCTATGAAAAGAAAAGTGGGTGATATGGGGCAAAATATTTTACACAGAATCGAAGGAAAAAACACAAGGAGTTCTTACATCTGACAAAAATTCCTAAACCTGACATGACTGCATCCTTAACGACTGATAATACATATCTACTTCAGTCCTGTTCAACGACTGGTTTCAACATACACAATTATGGGAGAGGGTAAGACAAAACAATCCTGATCATCCGATACATGTTCTGTTCTATGAAGACGCAAAACAGGTATGTTTTAGTAATTTTATAAAATTAACTGGAGATAAGAACCAAGGATTATGATACTATGATATTATAATAACTATACCACCATCCTGTTATTTTAAAGGGTCGGTATATAGTAAGATGTTTCCGTCCGTGTGTCCCACTTTTGTATCTGAATTGTTGTGTTTGCTTTCGCATGAAATGTTATCTGTCAGATCAGTAAAACACAGTACGTGGTAGTAGACGTTTATCTAGTATCTTTCGCCACTCTTTTTTTAATGAATGATCGCTTCTTAAACTAAACCCGTAATAAGAATCTCAAACTTTCTCTGAATCGTCACTATATATTACCATGTATATCTCATATTTTTTCTCTTTTTGTCAAATTATCATTTTGGTTTCCCTTATCAAATCATGAACTTTGCCCACAGTACCTATAATTAAATGGTTTTAACTAAAGTGTAGTTCGATTCTAGTAGTACATTTGTAGTACTGAATGTAGTAGGTCATCATTCATTGAAATCTACGAGACGTGTTGGCAAAAATGTAATAATCAAACAAACACCGACATGTTTACTCAAGAAGCCTAATATCAGCAGGAAAATGAAAAGTCATTATCGTCATTACTTTTGGTACAAGATTTTCATGAAAATGTCTGATATGTTGATATTAGATATTATATTCAGATTTGATTTTATGTAAGTATTTAAAAAAATCTTCATTAAAAAAACATAGTTATGCTAATTCAATAGCGAAAAAATATATCACATATTAATTTTCAAAGCATTTTCGTTCTTTGTTTAGACTTGTTGCGATTGTTTTTACTACAGAGCTTCAGTGTCCATATTGTATCTTTCATACTTTTCATTTCTCTGTAACTTACAACGACAAAACAAATACGGTTTGTACATTACCTTTCAGTGGTTCTTATCTATTCTGTCAAGCATGGTTTTCCATTACATGCGTGCAATCTGTTTTACTTGATGTCCAACCTCAGGTTAAACTCCAATACGACAGCAACATATAAATAGAGGGAACCCCATTAGGCGTAGGGAAATTGTTCTATATGTTTAACATGACTCATTAGAAATGTTCAAATAAATTAAGAAAAAACTCTGAAACAGTGGTGACGTTGCTTTGCTAAACTATCAGGTAGCGTAGCAAGGAGAACGTTGCCACTGTAACGTGTTTCGGAGTTTGGTTTCGTAGCTGAATTGCTGACTACATGTATCTATAATCAATAATTGTTATTCAAATATAAACGATCTTATTTCAATCTCTTGTGTGTTTATAAGTGTTTTTGTGTATCTAACTTTCTTATGTTTACTACAAAACGTTCTATTTTTGCTGTATTTGCTCTGAATCATTTAATTGGAAAATAAGATAAAGTAGGACTGTGTTGATTCTGTTGTCCAATATATATATTTTGTTTTTTTTGCAGAATCCATTTTATGAGTTTAAAAGACTCGCTCGATTTCTTCAGCTAGATGTAAAAGACTCTTTAATTCGGACCATTGCAGAAAAAACAAAGTTTTCAAACATAAAAATTTCTAAAGAGGCGGCAGTTAGACACCGTTTAGGAAACGTATTTGCAGGCAATACATATCCTTTATATAGGAAAGGTAAGTTTATAATTGTTTTATAGTATATTTCCCGAGCACACTTATACTAACAACAGTAAGCACAGTGTAGGAACCGACATAAACATAGTTTTGCGTCAAAGTTTTGAAAATTTTCAGTTTGTACCGATTTTTTAATTCCGATTAGCATTTAGCATTGTGAGTTATGAGGAGGAAAGATTAAAAATGACACTCCGTAAATTTTAAGGACACCATCACGAATTGGTTGATCTATACGATGTATCTGTGTCTAAACTAACTAATGACATTTTTACCACGTCTTAGATTGTGGTTTAACTACTATGTCGTCTGTCTGCTAAGTACCGAACGTGACCTAATCCCGAATATGACTGTTATACCGAGAGTGATTTTACATTGCTATACGACGTGTCTCGGTATTTTGTACATCCAACATTCATGTTTTGATTTTTTGATTTTTTTGTTATGGTTTCGGCTGAATAATGTGTTATGTCGTATCGTTTGTTGTCCAAATAATTATAAAATTGCCCTACAATACCATCATTGTCCTATTCCCGAATATGACTGTTATACTGAATGTGAATTTACATTGCTGTGCGGTGTGTCTCGGTGTTTTGTACATTCAACATTAATGGATTTATTTTGTTGTTTCTGTTATGGTTTAGGTTGGATAATCTGTTATGTCTTATCGTTTGTAGTCAAAATAGTGTTTTTCGTTGATGGAGAATATGTTCGTTGTTGTTCTGTGGTTTGTATGTTGTGTCGAATATTATATTATTTGTTTGTGGGTTTCTCTGTTATGAATGTTCTTGCGTGTGTTTGTGCTATATTTCTGTCACGTAGTGTTTTAGCGATATTTTTTAGCATTGTCATGAACCGGGAGGTTTGGCATGCCATGAAACCAGGTTCAATCCACCATTTTTTCTTAAAGTGTCCTGTACCAAGTCAGGAATATGGCAATTGTTATCAAATAGTTCGTTTCTATGTGTGATAGAGTTTGTTTTTGTTGCACCTCGGGGTTCCTGTTGTTCATTTGTTTTCCTCTTATAGTTAATGTGTTTCCCTCGATTTTGGTTGTAACCCGGATTTGTTTTCTCTAAATCGATTTATGACTTTTGAACACCGGTATACTACTGTTTATTTAGCTCACCTGACACATCGGTATATCGTTGAAAATTGTAATAGCTTCTGTCTGTTGTGGTTCGATGTGCTCCTTTTTTATATTTTGAAATTGATGGCTGTTAATTATGCTGTTTATTTCTTTGATTTTGTTCTTTAATTGGACACTTTGTTTAGCTATTTCCCTGTCTTGTGTAATAAAGTTGACTGGAGTTTTGTGGTGTTTCTTTTTATTCCAATGGTATATGGAGTAGACTGGCGTTTCCAGTATGGTTACCTTAGAGTTATCGACTTTTTTAATTAATTCAATGCATGTATGGTAGTGTTGAATGATGTTGTCTATTGCATCGGTTCCATGTGCTGTGCAAAGCTTAATCAGTTAAATGTTGTAAATAGAATCGATACTACATTGTACTGAGGGTTCAAATACAAATGTATAAAAGAGGGACGAAAGATACCAGAGGGACAGTCTAACTCATAGATGGAAAACAAACTGACAACGCCATGGCCAGAAATAAAAAGACAAACAGACAAATAATAGTACAGATGACACAACATAGAAAACTAAAGACTAAGCAACACGAACCCAAACAAAAACTGGGGGTGATCTCAGGTGCTCCGGAAGGGTAAGCAGATCCTGCTCCACATGTGGCACCCGTCGTGTTGCGTATGTTATTACAAATCCGGTAAATAGTCCAACTCGGTAGGTCACATTCGTGAAAAGGGAAGTGTATTGTAGTTACGACATAAGGAACATATCCGATATCATCTGTGAAACGGTTATTCCATAACGTTCAACCAACTCGTGATGGCGTCCATAAATTTACGAAGCGATGATTTCAACTTCACCATTTGGAACTCTTGGTTAAATAGCTTCTTTGTGAGCAGCAATCCTCTATCAAGGAAATCATGATAGGAAATACAAGCCCGGGAATATCGTATCAATTGGGAGATATATACTCCGTATGCAGGCGCTGCTGGAATTTTGCTACATAGAAATGGAAAGTTTACAATTGGGAAGCTGAAATCATCTCTTTTGTCGTAAAGTTTTGTTTTCAACCGACCCTCATTGTCAGTTTCTTGATGTAAGTCAAGATATGAGGCAGACTTAACTGTATCTGTAGTATCCTTTATCTCTAGTTCGATGGGATAGATTCGTTCAACATAGTCACCAAATTTTGTATTATTTAGTGAGATAACATCATCTATATAGCGGAACGTAATTATTTTTTTAATATGGTGTATATATTTACGTCAGAATTGTTTTTATTTTATTTGCATTACTCGATTCCTTAAAGACAAATATATGCATCCTGTGTAACCCCTCCCCCCCCCCAAAAAAAAAAAAACACACACACAAACACACACAAGATACATATACGCACAAACGCATAAACAGAACACCATAACGATCACTGTATTCCAGAAAATTCAAATTTATGTCAAATGCTTTAGTGAGATATTATGATTGAAACCTACATAAAGCATTTGAACTTTTTTGTAAAAGACTATGTATGAAATCCAAATTAGATTATCTTACCATTATGATAAAATGATCGGAAAATAAACCAGAGTTATCTTACATCAATCACAAAGAAGGGTTAGCAAACAATTTTTAATTGAAGCTTAACTTTAAAACAATTTTCTACTAAAAATGAATGCTACTTTATTCGAGTTCAAGGACTTAGATAGCCCAATCTACTAATGCTATTCAATATTTTGAATTTTTATGACAATAGATAAACATGCTACATTTTAACATCAAAATTTAATTTCTGCACTAAAATGACCACACTGAAATGTACAATGAAAAATATTATCAAGCACAAAGGGTTGTGGTAGAAACATTGATAAAGGAAACCCACAGGCAAATTTCAGACACCATATATTTTTGTTTTAACATATATATTATGTATATGATATATTGTTGTTTTATATAGGTATAGAGGACGACTGGAAATCTTATTTTACATTGCAACAAAATGCTGAATTTGAACAGATTTACAAAGAAAGGATGCAGTACAACAAATTGCAGCTAAAATCAATCGTCAACCCTGGCAATACTGATACTGGCTGTGTAGAGGAGACTCGATATGGATCAAAGTTGTAGTTTAAGGACAATACATTACTTATTTATGTCATTCATTATTATCTACATCATACTTCAAAACCATCAAATTTATATTTAATGCTATTTATGAAGTGTATGCAAGAGTTATGAATGTTTTGTAAAGGATTCATATCTAAAACCATACAACTGGCATCACTACAAAAAGATAGAAAGCATGTTTTTCTTTATTAAGCAGTCGTTAGTACTAACAGTTGCGGGTACGTGATTGAATTATAAACTGAAATATTTTGTTTAATTATAGATGCTTTATTCTTATCATTTATACATGTCTGTTATTTTATGTTTTGTTTATTTTGTCACAACTCTAAAGGTTGATTAACAGGAAAATAAAGTAATATTTAATCAAGATTTGTTACACTTGTTCAGTTGTGTACTATTTTGCCTAGTTCATATGTTTACTACATGTATAATCTGAATTGTCTTCATTGACTTACTTGAATTATATGCTTATAAAGCTTATGAAAATAATGGTGTTAATTATTTTTTGGTCCTTTTAATTCTGTTGATAGTTATGATTTTTCTACTCTCTATAGTACACTTCCAAACAATCATATCAAGAAAAAGTTTTCACATTTAATTAAATGGTCTTTTGAAAAATCTCATTACAAATTATTTGCTGTAACTCGTTTAAAGCCCTTTTCTGTAACGAAAAAGGAAAGTATGCTAGATACACTTACTGGAAATGTGAAGATATGATTGAAGCTTTAAATTTTCTCCTGGACAACATACATGTACGTTTCGGCGATAAAGTGTATCGACAGGTAGTAGGTATTCTGATGGGCACTAACTGTGCCCCTTTTATAGCAGATTTATTCCTGTATTGCTATGAATCTCAGTTTATGATCAAATTTCAGTAAAGACACATCATTGTTACATTTGGTTGATACATTCAACAATACCTTCCGTTATCTAGATGATTTTTTTTCGTTAAATAATCCAGAGTTCTCTAAATATACTACCGAAATTTACCCAAAAGAACTTACTTTAACTAAATCAGAACATAAACAGTAGTAGTTGTCCTTTTCTAGATTTGGACATTTCAATCTCTAAAGGAAAACTCCATACAAAAATTTACGACAAAAGAGACGACTTTTCATTCCCTATTGTTAATTTTCCTTTTTTAGACGGCGATGTTCCTTTGGCTCCATCATACGGTGTTTATATATCCCAACTCGTTCGTTATGCCCGTGTGTGTAGTGATGTCATAGATTTTAACGAACGTAATCAATGCATCTGGTAAATTATTAAGTCAGGGATTTCGTTACCATAAATTACGTAAAACTTTTACTAAATTCTTTCATAGAGACAAAGATTTGATTAGTTAATTTGGCTGTACCTGTAGAAAACTGATTAAAAACGGTATTTCACATCCTAAATTTTACGGTAATATTGTAATTAAAGCGCGGAAATTACTATGTGATCCGTGTAAACTCATCGAAACTTTAAACAAACTTATTAGTAAAGGTTATCTTACCAATGTTGTAATTAGATCTTTGAATATAATTTACATTGGCACTAATATCGATTTTGTCATCAGCAAATTAAAACATAACTAAATTTGTATTCTTTTCAAACGGGATGTATAAAGACGAACCCACGTTCATTTTGATCTATAAAGAGGTTAACTCCAAACTAGCCTACTGCCTGTCGATACATTTTGGCATTGCACAAGTCATGTCTTCTTTGACTGTCCATGACCTTAAATACTAAATCCATGGGATGTGTTTTAGTTGATTTTAGTCTCTGATGCAAGATTTTTTATTATTAATTGTTTATGGCTTTTAACTAGCTGTCAGTAACTGCGAGTACTCTCAAATCATACTTTCTTGTTTATGACCTGTTAATACTAATTGTAAGGCTTTTTTTTTGTTATTTAATGTTATTCGGGGTTATATCTGGTCTATATACCATCTTTAATAAGTGTTTGGTATTACTATAAATTTTCACTTCTTCGTACTATGAAAATATTCCCTTTCTCTATTTGAACTGTACACGTATACCTAACAACAAAATTATTTTTATATACCTGTGTTTCAAGTAATTGCAACTGGCTGATATTTTTGTTCAAGTATATTGTTTTTCTTAAATTGTTTAACATTTCACAGCGGTATAACATGTTACTTTAATTAATCTTCTCTTAGTTTATTTATTTTGTATTTGCATTGTATCATAGATCATATTTATTTTGTTCAGTGTATGTTCACTGGTGTTAATATGTCTTTTGATTGAGTTAAGCTATTTCAATTAATATTTTATAGTGTGTTGTTCTATGTCGTAATGTTACACTATTGTTTCAGATAAGGGTGAAGGTTTGGTACCATTAAAACGTTTAAACCCGCTGCAATTGTTTCTCGTATTTTATATAGATTAGACCGTTGGTTTTCCCGTTTGAATGGTTTTACACTAGTAATTTTTGGGGCCCTTTATAGCTTGCTGTTCGGTGTGAGCCAAGGCTCCGTGTTGAAGACCGTACTTTGACCTATAATGGTTTACTTTTATAAATTTTGACTTGGATGGAGAGTTGTCTCATTGGCACTCAAACCACATCTTCTTATATCTAATAAGTAAGTAATTTGTATTACATGTGGAGAAGTATGAGATTTTATGGTTTGACTATCTTTCCATGTGTTTAATGATGTCTTAACTATAAGCAGACATGATTCATTTTAACTGGAGGAACTCAGCGGGAGCTATTGGTTACTCCGAACCACATCAGTTGACCAGTTTGTGTTGGAAACCATATTACTCAAATTTAAGATTAATGTGAAGTGTATTTTGGACAGTTGTCTATCTGTTCGTTTGTTTCTAATCGCCTCGATGGTCTCGTTGTAGCGTGTTCTTCTAGAGGGCGGGAGGTCGTGGGTTCAAACCCCGGCTGGGTCAAATCAAAGACTTTAAAATTGGTCTTTGCTGCTTCTCCGCTATGCACGCGCCATTAAGGAGTAAGAGCAAAGCCTAGTCAGAATAATGTGTCCGGGTAAAGTGACATGTCTTCCTGCGGACTGTTATCTTTTGAACTATCGCGTTAAAAATCCGGCTCAGCGTGTCGGTCTAGTACAAAACAGACAGGGTTTTTATTCATACAACATTAACATTTCTCGTCCTGAATATGCATATCAATTTGCCGCAGGAAAGCAGCCATCCATCAATCATCATCGTTTGTTTCTATTGGTCAAGGCATTTGAAATTTCTCTTCTAATTATGGTTTTACATAACTAATGTATCAAATAATTATGTAATTGCAAGTTAACACTGTTTTCAGATTTACGCTCCTATAAGATAATGGGATATCTTAGTTTATTTATTGTAACTGTGATATTATTCCCTATGTTTTCAACTCCGAATTTGTTTCTGTTTCGTTAGATATTGCAAAACCAAAAAATCTAAAATGCAATCAATGCCTTACTGTACTTCATCTTATTTGCACTTTGTTAATTCAAAAGTGAACTATGGTAATTTTTGCCTCTTTGAATCTGAAAATTATAAAGTTTTAATAACATACTTCTAGATTAACTAGACGTAATTTCCGACCGTAAGATAAAAAAGCATATCAAGTTGAAATTTATTTAGAATGTTTATTTTCTGGCCCATAAAATTATTGTTATTAATGTTAATATACATATAGTAACTGAAAAGACTTTCATTTTTTTATTGCCATTCATTTTTTGCCAATTCGTACATGTCGTACTTAAATGTGCACAGTCCACAGCACTACCTTCCCAAAATGACATCGTTTCACATATTGTTTTATAAAACATGTTAATGTCATGGAGTGACAAAAAGAAAGTAAGATATCAATGAGGAAATCAACAACTACAAAACGAAGACAGACAACACTATTGCCAAAAGAAAGAAAAAAAGATGAACAGTCAAGCAATTAAAAAAAATTCACTACACAAAGCACTTACAATAGAGTGTCATAATCCTCCCATAAATGATACCATCAAACAGTTTTGTCAAACCTGGTGTTGAATTTCAATGCAAATTAATATGTTTAAAGCAGTTTCAGGTCACTAAATATCTGTTTTCGTAACATATTAACTCCCAGTCTACCATAAAACCATGCAAAACAGTCCACAATAGGGGTCATCATATTTAATTGAAACTTTGTGTGCTTAGACAACATTATGAAAGAAGTCAATAAAACAAATATTCCAGCTGGTTCCCATGCCTTTCAGTTAGGAGATGTTGTAATGTACCGGGAACCAGTTTCCCTATATTGGCAGTATTTTTCTTTGGAAATGACCAATTTCAACACCCTAAAACTTATGAATGCAGAAAACAACGAGATAAAGAACGATGATTTATCGAATAATCAAGTGTTGAAGCTTTAGTAACTCATCAGTACTTGAATTTACAAGAAACAGTTTGTGGATTATTCCAAGGGAGATAATCCAGTTAAAAAATATTTTCAGAAAATCTTAAAAAGTACATATTTTTAAAATTATCTAGCCTTTGGTCCATCAAAAATATAAAGATAACTCCATATTTTTCATTAATTATAATAATACTTATTAATGCATTTTAGCTAGTAAACTTGCTAGGGTCTCATTGTAGTATATTCTAGAATTCTAACTCTAAAAATGCCTACATGTAAATTTACATTTTCACTCAATAAATCAATGAATTTAAGAAATTCTGTAGATAATTTTGGAAATGTAAGTGTTTCTCTTTCAAAAGCACCATAACATTTAACAAAATAAGTAAAAGTAACGATGACCATAGTTCAATTACAATCTATGGTGCCATAAATATTGAATTTCTATGGTACAAAGGGAGATAATTCAGTAAAAATGCATTTATAAAGATCTTAAAATCACATTTTTTTTAACTTACCAGCTCTCTGCAGCTGTCCATTAAAATATAAACATATCTCTATTCGGTTATTTTAAGTAACCGTTAAAAACGCATTTTAGCATATACGATTGGTTGACTCTTCTTTTAGTACTTTCTAGAAGTCTCCTTGAATAATGTCCAAATTTACAATTTCTCTTACATAATCAATGAATTTTAAATATCAATCTGTATATAATTATTTTGGAAATGTATATATATAAATTTTACTTTTTTAAAAGCATTATTATACTTAGCAATGTAAGTTAAACTAACAATGAAGATAATACAATTACAATAAATGAAGCCATAAATATTGATATTCTATTGTACAAAGGGAGATAATTCAGTAAAAAATGCATTTTCTAAAATCTTTAAAAAGTATCTAGTATTTTTTCTTCAAATAAAGCATTCTGCTCTTGATATATCATACGCGTTTCGATATTTCTTTTCTTTTCATAAAGTACAGTATAAAACAAAGCATACCAAGGTGTAAAAAGAGAATGTTTAGATCAAAAAACT